TACCTCCCGTCATCATCCGTTATTTTGTTAACCTTTCTTCATAGCTGATATGTTCCATTCCTTCTATTAATTTTGTAGACCGCCTCTGCACTTTTTCTAGTGCCATAATATCCTTCTTTAGAACAGGTGCCCAAAATTGCACAGCATATTCAATATGGGGTCTTACCAGTGATTTATAAAGAGGCAAAATTATATTCTCGTCCCGAGAATGAATGCCCTTTGTCATGCATAAAGTTAAAACATCAAAGGCTGATATCAGCAATAAGTTAATCCACCCCTACTATCTGCTCTTCTTATTGAACGGTGGTTATGATGACCACCCAAAAAATGAAAGGGTGCAATGTGACCAGGAATTAGACTCAAAAAACCAAACTTTAGTATCTCGGTATAATGGTGCGTTTTTCAAACATTTTGCCAACAGCAACTAGGAGTCGGTGGGAGATTGCTAATTTACAGCATCACACACACCGCCTTCTATGGTAAATTCTGAACAACGAATCTGTGAATGGAAAGGGGGTTTTATTGGAATGCTCAATAATTAGTGAGGGTTTATACTTCTAAATGAAAAGGAACATTTGGATGCAGTAAATAGTACAATTGAGGCAGAGACAGATAAGATAAAAGCATTAAAAAAACTATTTTAAAATGAATGGCTCCCTGGTGTCAACATTGTTAGTGTCACCTGGCACCCTGACTGGGTACCTCCATTGAAGGATGCTCCTAGTGCTTCCCGAGGGCTCCAAGCACTCCAGCCGACACCATAACCACCGTGGACTCCTTCAGAGAGCAAGACAGGAACAAGCTCTTACAAGAGCATAGCTCTTACAGAGCATAGCAATCCCTTGTAGTGATATAGCAATTCCCCCAAAGAGAGACAGGACTCTAGATTGAGGGTGAAGTAGAACTGTCTGTACTGGCACATGCAGCCTCTTTTATTCCCATTTTACACACATAGTACTGAACAACCAATCAATACATACAATACACTCAGACACTCCCACACAAAAAATACACAGTTTTACACAATATTCATAAAAGTATACATCACATTGACATACAACTTACATTTTCAGAATCAGCATACTTCAAATACAAACATACGTAAAAATCATACCAATTGGTCCAGTGGGTCAAAAGTTAGTTGAAAGTCAATTATTGTGATCATCTGCAAGCATGACTTGGGTGTGGTAAGCCAATTACTTCCAGCATACAGAAAATGGCTCTATTCATAACAACAGTAAAAACACATAAAAATACATAATTCCTATTATACTTAACAGAACCACCACATTCAACCTATCCCGAGATAGCTTGGATCTGAGCGCTCACTATATCCGAACAGCGCTCAGATTCCACAACCACAGTCAAATCGCCATGGGGTTAAAACACAGCAAGAGCTGATGAGAGACCTAGGATGGGCAAAACAGCAAGTTCCAACTGGTCTGGCAGTGTGTCTGGGACAACGCCCTGCTGGAACAATAGACAGGAAACGGGGGAGGGGAAAAAAAGGCATTTTGTCACATATCTCCCCTTTGCGGGGGAGACTAACCAGGTACGTGACCTGTCAGTCAGTGCCTGAGTTAGTCGATAAACCCACCCACAGTGAACAAGTACATGAGTAGCCCACCCACAACACACATTTACTGCACCTGGTGGTTCCTCTGGTGGTACTGGGCAACACGCTGTGGGGACTTGTGGGGCAGAGGCCAAAGTTAGGGAGGCTGGGTGGATTTACCTTAAAATAATAAGAATTAAAAAAAAGGTGTCGGGGTGTGTGTGTGTTTGGGTGTATGACTGTGTGCGTGTGTGTGTGCATGTATGGCTGTCTGTGTGTGTATTCCTTTCTGTGTGTGTGTTTATAGCTGGCTGTGTGTGTGTGTATGGCTGGCTGTGCGTGTATGTATGTCTGTGTGTGTGTATGGCTGTCTGTGTGTGTATGTGTATTGCTGTCTTTGTGTGTGTATGGCTGGCTGTGTGTGTATTGCTGTCTGTGTGTGTGTATGGCTGTGTATGTGTGTGTATTGCTGTCTGTGTGTGTGTGGCTGTCTGTGTGTGCATGGCTGTCTGTGTGTGTGAGGAAGCATGTGTGTCTGTCAGTGAGTCTGTGTGTGGGTGTCTGTGAGGGAGCCTGTCTGAGTGATTGTGTGTGTCTGTGAGTGAGTGTGTTTGTCTGTGAGGGAGCCTGTTTGTCAGTTAGTGTGTGTCTGTGAGTGCAAGTGTGTATGTCAGTGTGTGTGTATGTCTGTCAGTGAGTGTGTCTCAGTGAGTGAGAACAGGGGCAGGTGTTTAGTAGACAATGCGGGGCTGGGATTTAATAGACAAGAGTGGACTGGGATTTAGTAGAGGGGGTCGCTGTTTTTTTTTAATACTGTATATTCAGTGTACAATATGTGCAATAAACAACTCTTTATTCTGTAACTGGGCGCTCCATCTTAGCTCCCTGTCAATCATTGTTATAAGCTCCACCTTTTACACCTTGCAGTCAGCATAGAGAGAGCCACCTCCATCTTAGCTCCCTGTCAATCATTGTTATAAGCTTTGGCCTTTACACCTGGCAGTCAGTATAGAGAGAGCCACCTCCATCTTAACTCCCTGTCAATCACGGTTATAAGCTCCACCCTTTACACGTGGCAGTCAGTATAGAGAGAGCCACCTCCATCTTAGCTCCCTGTCAATCATTGTTATAAGCTCCGTCCTTTACACCTGGCAGTCAGTATAGTGAAAGCCACCTCCATCTTAGCTACCTGTCAATCATAATTGTTATAAGCTCCACCCTTTACACCTGGCAGTCAGTTTAGAGAGAGACATCTCCATCTTTACTCCCTGTCAATCATTTTTAGAAGCTCCACCCTTTACACCTGGCAGTCAGCATAGAGAGAGCCACCTCCATTTTAGCTCCCTGTCAATCATTGTTATAAGCTCCACACTTTACACCTGTCAGTCAGCATACAGAGAGCCACCTCCATCTTAGCTCCCTGTCAATCATTGTTATAAGCTCCACCCTTTACATGTGTCAGTCAGAATAGACGGAGCCACCACCATCTTAGCTCCCTGTCAATCATTGTTATAAGCTCCACCTTTTAAACATGGCAGTCAGTATAAAGAGAGCCAACTCCATCTTAGCTCCCTGTCAATCATTGTTATAAGCTCTGCCCTTTAAACCTGGCAGTCAGCATAGAGAGAGCCACCTCCATCTTAGCTCCGTGTCAATCATTGTTATAAGCTCTGCCCATTACACCTGGCAGTCAGCATAGAGAGAGCCACCTCCATCTTAGCTCCCTGTCAATCATTGTTATAAGCTCCGCCTGTGGCAAACCTAGCCACTTGTAGGATGCTGGACTATATGTATAAAAAGGTTGTCTGTAATAACCGCTGTACTACATGTGTAACCTTGGTTGATAATGTTATGTGCATAGAATTCGTATGCTAGCGGCTTTCTGAGATGATTGTCAGCCTAACATCATGCAATCCATGTAACCAGGAAATAGTGCAGCCAGGAAGCAGGTTTAAAGACTGCTATTGGAATCCCCGAACAAGTGAAATAGGACACACAGTTCCCAAAAGAAGTACCACGCAATACTATTAATTTAGTGAATTGCCCTTCAACATGTGGGGGGAAATCATTTAATATACAATTTTACAGAGAAATAGGGAATAAGCAATTCTAATACTATATCAAATATATATTACAAGTAGTTCTGTAAAACACATTAAAGTGTATATAAAGATAGATATATTTACACTAAATTACATGTCAACTTTATGTCAATTTGCACATTTTCATTCAGTTAACAGGGGATGCTTACTAGTTATCACAATACCAATACATCATTTGTACATTTTAGAAGCCAATAGGCCCCAAATAGTCGTTTTAAATGGCAATACACCCCAGGGCCATAGTCATGAGGGAGGAGACTGGCAATCTGGCTCCTCCAATAGTTATTATTTATATTGTTAGCATGAGAAAGGCTTTGCTATAACACGAGGTGCTGAAATGTAAGCAAACTTTGAATTGATTTTAGAATGTCTCACATTCAGAGTAAAATATATTTTATTCCTAAATTAATATATAGATGCCCCATACATTACTTAGAGTTGACTATGACATTTGGAACAATTAAAACATCACACAATTTCTCTCCTGTGTGAGTTCTCTGATGACTAACAAGGTGTACATGCAGGCTAAAACATTTCCCACATTCAGAAAAAGAGAAAGGTTTCTCTCCTTTACTGACAACACATTTTCCACATTCAGAACATGAAAAAGGTTTTTCTTCTGTGGGAGTTCTCTGATGTCTACCACACTCTCCTTAACAGGCAAAACATTTCCCACATTCAGAACGTGAGACAGGCTTATCTCCTGTGTGAGTTCTTTGATGGGTTTCAAGTCTTGCTTTACTGACTTAACATTTTCCACATAGCAACCAAGCAACATGGTGGGAAGTAGCAGAATTAAAAGGTAGAAGAGGACCGTGGCCCTTTAAGAGGACGTGACATAATAGTTACTATTTTTGATGATATGGTCTGAGGAGATGGGTTTTGATGGGCTTGATCTGCCAGAAATGTTTCCATATGCCTTTGGCTGCAACACTTATTAGCTCTGAGTCCTGAGTGAAACTTATGAATGCTGCTGGTTGGGTCACATACAGTAAGAGAGAATCTGAGGTTAGATAAATCAATAAACTATGGGTGTAAAGGCATGCAGAAATAAGGTGAGAAAATTAAACCAATCAATGGGAGAGATTAGATAGGTGGAATTAATAAATGGGGAACATAAATTAACCAAACAATATGTGCAATAACTCTAACACTTACAAAAATAAACAAACATTAACCCCTTTGTGACCAGACCATTTTTCAATTTTTTTACCGTTAAGGACTAGGCTGTTTTTACATTTCTGGGGTGTTTGTGTTTAGCTATAATTTTCCTCTTACTCATTTGCTGTACCTACACATTTTATATACCGTTTTTATCGCCATTAAATGGTCTTTCTTAGATGCCATTATTTCCATTATATCATATAATTTATTATTAAAAAATACACTTTTTTCTAGCTTTGACCGACAAATTCTCTTATGCATCTACAACCGCCAAAAAACACCCATGCTAAACAGTTTCTAAATTTTGTCCTGAGTTTAGAAATACCCAATGTTAAAATGTTCTTAGCTTTTTTTGCAAGTTATAGGGCTATAAGCACAAGTAGGACATTGCTGTTTCAAAATATATATTTGTAAAAATGTAGTGGCATTGTAACACTGTTACAGCTGTCATAAATCTCTGAATCACACCTCACATGTACATCTTTTTTAAAGTAGACAACTTATGGTATTCAATATGGGGTATGTCCAGTCTTTTTTAGTAGCCACAAACACTGGCCAAAATTAGCATTTATATTTGTTTGTGTGTTAAAACGGCAAAAAAAACTATTATGAATGCTAACTTTGGCCAGTGTTTGTGACTAATTGGCTACTAAAAAGACTGAACATACCCCATTTGCAACACCTTGGGTTTCCTTCTTTTGCAAATGGTATGCCATCGTGGGAGTAACTCTCAATCCTGTGCTATCATATGCTCTCAAAGGTAATGTAACCAATCTGGCAAATTTCAACGTGAAATAAAGGAAATTCAAGCTTTAAATTTGACCCTGTAACTTTCAAAAACAGTATAAAACCTGTACATGGGGGGTGCTATTATACTCGGGAGACTTTGCTGAACACAAATATTAGTGTTTTAAAACAGTAAAACGCATCACAACAATGATATCATCAGTGAAAGTGCTGTTTTTGTGTGAAAAATGCAAAAAACGTAACTTTCTTCGACAATATAATCGCTGTAATATTTTTTACTGTTTTGAAACATTAAACAGCAAAAATGTCTAGCATTAACAATTTGCTACACTATCTACCACTGTAAATATCTGCACAGTTAGTCATTTTAGAAACACTATATTTTTTTAATTTATTATAATATCTTGGAATCTACTACAAAGCTGCATTAAACAGCAAATTGTCTACCAATGCTAAACTATCTACTATTGTAAATATTTACACAGTTATAGTCAATTTAGAATTACTATACTTTTTCATTCGGTACAATATCTTGGAATCTACTGCAAAGCTGCACCATACAGCTAATTGTCTAGCATTTTTTAATTTGCTACATTCGTTCTAACAATCATGTAAATATTGTTACTCATATTCAGTTAAATAAAATGACATAATTGTCATTCTTTTAATTACGTCCTAATTTTTTTTTCAATCATTAATAATTTTTTCTTCTATTTATTTTTATTTTTAGCTAAAAACCAGACTATTCAGGTAAACATAGGTTTAATCACTTTCAAGATTGTGGATGTTCCTTCCCCAAGCAATCATTGGCCAGAACATCCACAAGTATCCAATCTGTGTCTGGTTCCCCTCTGATGAGCTTCACTGGCGAAATGCGTACGTCCGGGGCTCTGGACACACTTTGACACATTACTGATGTCGGTCTTTCACTCTCCGCTTACCTATTTGTGGACTCACTGATGCTAAGTTCATATTTGTCCAGCAGTTTAGGAGTTTTCTAATATGAATGGAGAGTCTCTGGCTCATGTACTCTCTATATTCTGTAGATAGCGTATATACTTTATATTTTTCTTCTATTTCTGTTTAACTCTCGGGGGACGCAGGCAAGAGCAGGCATTTTGATAAGGGGTGCCCTCGAAGGCACAAGATTTAGGGATTACCTCTTTTGCTTTATCTATCACTAACCGTTTATACCTATCATTTAAACCGAATTATTTTCCAAACACTATATGTTGCAGATTAGACTTTAAAGACAGCCAACTATGTTTTGCTGACACGTATAATCTTGCTGCTTTTAAACAGGCAGTCTATTTAGCAATATACTTTACTTGCAATCGCTGCCCGCTAGCAGTCTTTTTCAGTGGAGAAATTAACTACCGATTATTTAACCATTGCCACTGTGAACATTAACTATGTGAATTCCACATTGTTATGAACTGATACCAATTAGTTAATTGACAATCTCTTAAGAAGATTAAACAGCTTAAAGCACTAGAAGCAAAGACATTTCTCTTATCCCAGGCTATACTGATAAAGAAATGTTAAATGTGCTGCATTTAACAGATGGTTAATCCACTCACTCTGCTGATATTAACTATCTTGTTGTTATTATCTTGGCAGTCTATTTAGCAAATATTTATTAGCAATTGTTTCCCGTTAGCTGTCTTTCTCTGTGGAGAAATATATCACCGATAATCGACTTCACCTCAGTGAACCATATGGATCTAACATGACTGTTATCTGAGCGGCAGCATAGAGCATTAGAAGCAAAGATATTTCTCTTATCCCAGGCCATACTGATAAAGGACGCTCATAAAGTATTTTACAGTATATAAACGCTGCCACTATGTCGGCATTTATCAATATTTTCTAATAGATAAGAAACCGTCTATTCACAGCTATATTATGTCTATCTATCAACAGCCATTAGTGCTCTTATCAATAAGCTTGTAGACATTTCATGTGTCTTATTTGTCTACCACATCGCTACATTTATCTCTAGCTGTTAACCTACGGGTTTGCTCTGCAATTCTATATTGCGCTCTCCCCCTGTCACAGACATTAGTGGCATTTACTTTGCCCCTAGTACTTTATCAAGAGTTATTCCTACAGTGCTACAATTATACCTTTATCACACATATTGTTATCGTAGCCTGTTCTATCACTAATTAGAGCCATATTATCAGACAGTCTCACCTTTCTCCTTATGTTTTTAGCTTACTTTCTATATTATTTATTCCATTTTTAACTTATCCATTAAAGGTTATATTTTATGTTCACAATTATCTCAAATACTTCACGTAGGTAATAGCAGTATTTTTTCTTTTTTGTTTTTTTCCTATTGATGATATTGTTGTGATACATTTTACTGTTTTGAAACACTAATATTTGTGTTCAGCAAAGTCTTCTGAGTAAAACACTACCCCACTATGTACAGGTTTTAGGTTAAACAGAATGCTAGCAAATTAAATTCTCTGAACTTGCGGCCTGCGTTGTCAGGCAGGTCCCTCAAATTGCAATCAATAAAATGACTTAATTATATAAAAATATTACATAAATGTGCACATATGTATATATATTTAAATTCTATTTATATATGAAGTCTACTTGTATATTTATGAAATTATTTATGTAATTGTGTATATGAATATATATATATATATATATTTCATATTATTTCTATTTATTTCTATACACATACACACACACATATATATATATATATATTCATTCAAAGTGTGTAATATATATATATATATATATATATATATATATATATACACACACATACATATATATATATACACACATAATTTTAAATTTAATTATTTTTTACTTTTAAAAATTAATTATTTATTTTTATAATATATACACACAATATATACAGACCAGGACGGCCGGGCTCATTACAATCCCGGCGGTCCTGTTGGGGACCGGGAGCAAGCTTTTACCTTTGCAGCAGCTCCTTCAGCTTCCCCAGTCTAAATCTTGCGAGACCTACGGCCGTCAGAGCAAAATTTAACAGAAATATCAAGGGGGAGAAAAGTAAAGAGGGGCTCTGTAGAGTTTACAGAATCGCAACACCTATGCATCATTTATACATTGCTACTGACAAAGGTATTATATATTGTGTCAGGATGAGAACAATTCACTATTTCACCATTCTGTACATAAGAAAGGTCTCTCACCTGTGTGGATTCTCTGATGTGCTTTAAGATTTGAGTGCTCGTTAAAACATTTCCCACATTCACCACATGAGAAAGGTTTCTCTCCTGTGTGGGTTCTCTGATGTGTAACAAGATTTGAGTGCCCGCTAAAATTTTTCCCACATTCAGAACATGAGAAAGGTTTCTCTCCTGTGTGAGTTCTCTGATGTTTAACTAGAGTTGTGTTATGTGTAAACCATCTCCCACATTCAGAACATGAGAAAGGTTTCTCTCCTGTGTGGGTTCTCTGATGTGAAACAAGATTTGAGTGCCCGCTAAAACATTTTCCACATTCAGAACATGAGAAAGGTTTCTCTCCTGTGTGAGTTCTCTGATGTGAAACAAGATTTGAGTGCCCGCTAAAAGATTTTCCACATTCAGAACAGGAGAAAGGTTTCTCTCCTGTGTGAGTTCTCTGATGCTTAACTAGAGCTGAGTTATGGCTAAAACATTTCCCACATTCAGAACAGGAGAAAGGTTTCTCTCCTGTGTGAGTTCTTTGATGTTTAACTAGAGTGGAGTTATGGCTAAAACATTTCCCACATTCAGAACATGAGAAAGGTTTCTCTCCTGTGTGAGTTCTCTGGTGTAAAACAAGGTGAGCATGCCTGTTAAAACATTTCCCACATTCAGAACATGAGAAAGGTTTCTCTCCTGTGTGAGTTCTCTGATGTGTACTAAGACCTGAGCACTGGCTAAAACATTGCCCACATTCAGAACACGAGAAAGGTTTCTCTCCTGTGTGAGTTCTCTGATGTTTAACAAGATTTGAGTGCTCGCTAAAACATTTCCCACATTCAGCACATGAGAAAGGTTTCTCTCCTGTGTGAGTTCTCTGATGTTTAACAATTTGTGACTGCCAGCAAAAACATTTTCCGCATTCAGAACATGAGAAAGGTTTTGTGTTTATGTTTACTATCTCCTTTGTAGACATATAGGGTTTTGAGAGATTGCTTGAGTTTGGAGAGCTGGAATCCTTGGTTGTCTTATTAAAAGATTTCTTCATAATCTTGCTTAGTATATTTCTTTTGTTGTCCTGTCCTTTAGAAAAACTTCTGCTGCTGGAAATATCTGAAACAAAATGTACGGGGAGTTATGAAAAAAAAAAAAATCTATCTATAACTGATGTATTGTTTACCATACTTAAAAACTGACTTTATTTTCATGAAACATCAGAAATATGACTATGAAACATTATGGTGATTAATTAAAATATTTGTGTGCTCTAATTCCCATTATAATATAAAAATTGTGAATACAAACTTACTTTTATTCACTTGGCAAAATGTAAAATCACGGCATAGAGTACACATGAATGGGGAAACACGAATCAAACTAACAAATGAAGAATACGTTTCTTTAAGTTCAGGACAGAGGGATCTGTCACACAGGTCATCCACAATAGGGATAGTTGCAGTGGTGTATCACTGGAACCTTGGAGGTTCAGAGTAAAAACTGGAACCAGGAACCAAATCAACGCTGTAAAAAGGTATTTATTCCATGTTGTAGTTAAAACATAAAATAAAATAGCACAACACATTTCGACCTTAAGAGAGATCTTCCTCAGGTACAGTCTACCTAGCAACTGACATAACAGGCTTTATATACTCTAATACTAACTAAACATAAGAAACAACAGGTGTAATAATGAACACACATGTGAAAAAACTTTAATATATGGTCCGGACCGGATGTAATCCGCCTTACCCAACATGGTGGCTCATCCGGTTTCGGCCACATACGGAAAAGAGAATATGCTACAACTAAGATGTCTGTGTGTCATATCATATGAGGTGGCAGACTTCAATTGGAGGTTTTCAGCATCTGTATTGTACATGGGCGGTCTTTGTGTCGGCTCTGGTGGCACTTACTTGAATCAGATTATCCATATGTTTATAAAGCATTCGTGTTGCAAATGGGAGGTCTTGTCCAATAGTGAAGGGTTAAACCCAAAACATTGTCTGTATCCAAGCTGACTATTTTTGTCACGGACATATACCAATAAACTCTTAAATTACCTAATTTCCTTTAAACATTGTTATTTCAGCATTTGGCTCAAACGCCTAGAACAGTTTTGCGTTTTTCCATTAAGCAAACAATAACTCAGTGCTAAAATGGTTTGTTAAAGGGGAAACATCTCTTTGTTTCCTTCTCAGGCTTTTTGATTTGAATGGACATTGTATCTTCACACGTAATTTGTACTATATAAGCAATGTAAAGGCTGTCATTAAACGAGTGACTTTGAATAAGCTGACTTGATGTGTGTCATCTCCGTGCTTTCAAAGTTCTCCCTCAATATTGAAGACAGAGCAGTGAATATTCCAAGTGGTGGACAGCGGATGCTGAGATATAGGAGAAAAACACTTCCAAGGGAGAAGGATCGATTAACCCTTTCAGCTGGTGTCAGAAGTGGGATGCAACCAGGAGCACTAAGGGGTAAGTGTCTTGTGTCTATTTGACGCTGGTCCCTATGCCCCTGGTCTCCACATTGTTGCATCCTTAGGTAGAAAGGGTTGTGAAGTGTTTTTCTCTAGGGGTCTGCAGTAGACTCCTGAATAGAAATATATTTATATTATATATATATGCCTGTGGTAGGCTAGGGCTGCAGTAGACCATATGGGAAAAATTATTTAAACCTAGGCTGTTTATCAGGTCCTCCTCCGCCTTTTGGATTTTTGCTCTCTGTATGTCTTGCATGTCTTATTGTATGTAAATAAATATTTGTTTTGCAATAGGCAAGGAACTGTCTTGGTAAGTGACAGGTTTCTTGTCCTTGAGCCACGGTGTGGACATGGGAAATTCCCAATCTGTTTCCTACCCTCAACCACACCCTGGGGAGTCATGTTTAAATTATGTTTCCAGAGTAGGAGCCTTGGGAGGATTTTTAACCATCCCATTTGTCACTAATTTAGCAGGATAGACGGAGGCTATGAGATCCTCCGACCCATTCCCCCATTGTGGAGCAAACAATGACTTCCACATAAATATGGTTAAGGGATAATGTTTAGAGGATAAAAGGGCATGGCTCTTGACCCCGATTGGGACAAGGACTATATGAAATTGGGAGGAGAAAACTGGTTGCAAGTGGCCCCCCACTGGTACCCAACAACCAATAAAGGCAGAAAGCTTAGGGGTAAGGAGAAGAAAGTAGCTAGTTCTACAGGAAAAGCCCCAGATAACCTTGATTTAGGGAACTCTGATTCAGTACATAAGAGCAATGAGATTAAGGATAAAGACTTACAAGTAAAAACTGTTCCCCGAGAGACACCCTTGCTGCCTCCGTATTCCCCCGCATATACTTCTTTGCCTATAGCCCCTGAAGATGAGGAGGATGAGGAAGTTTTGTTAGTAGCTATTAATACTGGCATAAGGTATCGTATAACAGCAGAAGAAGAAGATAGTTCTGAAGAAGGAAATGAAGAACAGGCATCAGGGCAAGCCTCAGGAACCAGCCGTAGTACTCATTCTTTGCTTAACGCTCCCCCTATTAAAATTACTGTCACTAACACACCAGGCATGATATTAAAAAGTGGTAAACAAATCAAAACTACCTCTATAAAGACTGGTAACACAGATGAGACAATAGGTCCCTCCGCCTTCCCATTTTTAACCGTAGGAGACCAACTAATAATGAAACCCTTGAATCCTATTGTTCTAAAGGACATCATTCAAGGTACACCCAACCCACGTCCCCTTAATCACGTCAGCTGCATGTTTACTGTATTTAAAAAGAATTTGTCAACGTCCACGATAACATTGGTGCAGGTCCCCCCCCCCCCAGATAGTTCAGTTAAACTACTCCGGTGAAACCTTGGAGGGGCTACCCTCGATCCCTGGAACACCTCAACCCATGGACCATCTTTTAAGTAAACCACATATAGGTGCCAATGGGTCATACTGATGTTTAAATACTTTGTTGACTAACATGCTTCCATTAAAAAAAAAAAACCCACTCAGCGGGACACCATGTCTCAGCCAGTGACAATGCTTTTGTTATTATATGTGACCGTTATGGGCAACAGCTCACATATTGTATTGTTTTCTCTTTATTGCCTGCTGAGTGAACAAAATAAAGAATAAATAAAAAAAAAATGTGTCAAGGGCAAAACATGACGCAGATAGATATAAAATTAATTATTGATGGTATATTGGGTGTAACGGATCACCTGGCACCCCGACTGGGTACCTCCGTTGAAGGATGCTCCTAGTGCTTCCTGAGGACTCCATGCACTGCAGCAGACACCAAAACCACCGAACTGTAGGAGCATATGAATGCTCTCAAGCATATGAATGTTGCATACAGCCGAATAGGAAAAACCATGCAAATAGGTTTACACTCCTAGCAGTCAAACTGGAACAGCATACAATGAATCCTCCCCCAATAATGAGACAACACTTCACTTTGAGGGTTAAGCAGGAACTGACTGTACTGGCACATACAGCCTCTTTTATTCCCAATCCACAAACTTAAGTACTGCCCACAGGGTTTTACAGAACAACCAATCAATCTGTACAATACACACAGACACTCCCACACAAAATCCTCTCCTCTGCCTGTAATACAATTACCTTACACAATGGGTAATCTAATTATCACAGACAGAGAAATACAGTTTCATAAAACACATCACAGGGACCCCAAAACATGCAATAACCCCATAAAACCCGGGGGATCTGGGTGAACCACATATCCGAAATTCACCCAGATCCATTCAGTACTTTGGAAGATATAGTTTAATGCAGATTCTGCAGAACATATACAGGCTAAATGAAAAACAATCACTGTATAATGTGTCCCCTGCTGTATAGGCCAAAACCACTGCACGATGTCTCTGTGCACCAAATACTGGCGAGATGGCACCGTGTTGAAAAGTCCAAACAGTGTCTGTGAGTTAAAATGGCCGCCATCCATTGTTCTCACCATGTGCTTCATCCATTGTTCTCACCATGTGCCTCTGATACAGGAAATGGTGGCCACCCAGTAACTCCACAGTATGTCCCCAGATGGTTCTTAAAGGGCCAGCAGCAGCACAACACAAATCCCTTATGCCCAAATCATGTCTTTAAAGGGCAATACATCCCAGGGGCCATAGTCACATGGCAGGAGGCTGGCAATCAGGCTTCTCCAATGCCCAGTGGCGAGGTCGGTTTCGCCACATTGGGTTATGATCCAGATTCAGGATGGGATTGGTCTAAGGTTCCCTCTGTGTCTACATTGGACTCTAGCACTACCATAGGTGAGGATCCCTATGTATTGTCCACGCACAGGGCCATTTGAAGGAATTTGGGGGTGTTACAGACTGCCATTTGTAACTGTTATTTTATTTGACAAATTGCCCTGCTTCCCTGTGTTATGGAGAAACCTAATTGCCAGCCTTCTGCCCCATGACTATGGACCTAGTATGTATGGCGATTTGACTGTATTTGTGGGATCTGAGCGCTGTTTGGATATATTGAGCGCTCAGATCCAAGCCATCTGGGGATAGGTTGAATGTGGGGGTTCTGTTCAGTTCGATAGGAGTTATGTCTTTTTGTGTCTTTTGCTAACATGTGGTTAATGGAGTCTGCCTCTATCCCTGGATATAAGTGGATTATTTTCCCCATTGTCTCCAGGTTAGAGGGCTCTGTAAAATCGGTTTGGGCCAGATAACCATGCTGCCAGCCAGGCCCCAAAAGATACTTTTGCTAACTTTTGAACCCCTTGTCTGATTTGTGCCATTTTTTAATATGTTGCTCCCCTGAATGGATTGATTCTAAATCTGTATGAAGATTGTATGTATGGTTTTAAAGTTACAGTGTATGGATAAAAACTGTATTTTTACTGCCTGTGTTTAATTATGTTAACCCATTGTGCAACATAATTAGATCACAGGCAGAGGGGAGGATTTTTGTGTGTAATTGCTGGGAGTGTTTCTGTAATGTACGTTTATTATTGGCTGTTGTGTAAAACCCTGTGGGTGGTCCTATCTCAGGGAAACCTGCATAAAAGAAGGTTCTTTGTGTGCCAATAAACAGAATGACTTGACCCTCTAACTTGCAGCCTTGAGTCATGTTTGTAGGGGACAGCTATAATCACTACAGGGATTGCTATGCTCCTCATACTCCCTTAACTACTGAGCTCTTGTAAGAGCTCTTGTTCCTGATCCTGCTTCGCTCTACAGAAGGAAGGGATTCACCTACTGGAGCCTGGTCATAGGTCCAGGGCGGATAGCAGACGGCGAGATCCTAGCCCAGCAGCGGTGGTTTGTTGAGTCTGCAGTACTTATGGTGTCTACGCAGTACTTATGGTGTCTACGGTGCTGATGGTCCTTTGGTGAGCGCTAGGAGCATCCTTTCTATGGTCCAACTTCCAGCCAGCCTGGAGGCAACCGTAACAGGGGGCCCCAAGCAAAATAGACTTGGAGGCCCCCCAACTCCCCCTCATCCCACATGCACGCAAAGCCTTCCGGATAAAATAGACTTGGAGGCCCCCCTAACACCCCCTCATCCCACACGCACGCAAAGCCTACAGGAACCACAGCATAGCCATACAGTTTAAGTTCACGCACACTTTATGTAAAAAAAAATTTTTCCAGTGCAAATACTGCCGTTGCAAATAATGTGCATAATTTGAACATTTTCAACAATTGAACATTTGCAAAAAACACCACTGTACCATAAAATCAAATATACATTAAAAAAGTGCACAACAACTAAATCCAACATACTTAAAGGGACTCTCCAGTGCCAGGAAAACAATCACCCATCCCTGGTTGCTGAAGGGGTGAAAATCCATTCAGTGACTTACCTGAGACCCCCAGCCGATGTCCCTCGGCGGTGGTTTCGGGTCGCCGCCGCTCCTCCCCTTAATCACGTCAGCCTTAATCCCCTTAATCTCCTACCCCTCCCCATGTTTTTTTTACTCCTCCCCCTCCCCATGTTTTTTTTACTCCCCCCATGTTTTTCTTACTCCCCCCTCCCCATTTTTTTCACTCACCCCTCCCCGTGTTTTTTTACTCCCCCCCCTATGTTTTTTTTACTCCCCCTCCCATGTTCTTCTCACCTACCCTTCCCTGTAGCGTGGCTGAGCTCCTCTTCCTCCTCAGTGTGCACTTCCTGTCAGTCTGGCCGGGAACAGGAAACTGAATCTCCTGTACCGCGCGGTACCCGGCCGGACTGACAGCCAGGAGGAAGAGGAGCTTGGCCACGCTACAGGGAAGGGGAGGACAGAGGCGACGAGAGAGGAGTGCTGCAGCCGCCTGAGGCTTTCTATAGAGCTCTCAGATGGGTGCAGCCTTATAGGAAGCACCGGCTCTGCTTGGGGCCCCGAGCGAAGCAATTGCTTGGTTTGCCTGCCCGCTAGCGATGGGTCTGTCCACGCAAGGGGGGCAAGATAAAATGTGGGAAGAGATAACAGCAGAAATGTCTAGGCTATGAAAGGATAAACAGTCTATGTCAACAGCTTTGGCATGTAAACAGGGTCAGAAAGAAAGTATGTCAGAGTTTGTCGAGAGATTTTACAAATGTTGGAAAGAGGATGCTGGTTTAAAATCAGGCGAGAATATGGATCCATTAAAAATTCAAACTTGGGAAACATGTTGCCACCATATTCTCTGCTTGTCAAACAATTGATTTCAGAATGGCCAGGATTGTCTAGTAAGGATATCTTTGTTAAAATTGTGGAAAAAGACAATGCAGGATGTTTTGATATAAAGAAAGAAGGTAGCAATAAGGTGTACTATAATCAAGGATTGCAACCCCTCTCAAGCTAAAAATAGAGGTTGGGAAGGAGAACATAGGAGATACCCGAGAGGAGGGCAAAGAGGTAGAGGAAGAGGCAGGGGATTTGGGACCCAATGGGGAGGACAGAGATATCAGAGAGGAGGGGGGCGACTAGGAGGCCCTGGAGGTTTGGACAGGTTACATTGCTTCAATTGTGGCCAAAGTGGGCATTGGAGAAATGAGTGCCCAAACCCTGTGCGAAACCCCCAGTATGGTAAACAGAATGCTACATTACCTGCTCGCCAGATTACCACCGCCATCAACCCAACATCTCACACACCGCTGACACCTCCACACCCCACTCATCATATTCCATGGCCACAATAGGGCTGCCCTGAAGGTAACACTCCAGCTTTTCCTCTCTTATCTCCTACTAGTAACGATCAGCCATTTTGTGTCCTGGTAATTGATGGCGTGTCACTGCCATTTTTGGTGGATACTGGAGCTACTTGTTAGAGTTTGTGTGAGACTATCAGGGGAAAAGGGAAAGGTCTACAGCTTCAGTGGGTATCAATGGAATGTCTACCATCACATTTATTACACCACCTTTGTCGGTTTTCTGTCATTTGAATGGTATTTCGACTGTTTTTTCTTTTCGATTGATACCTGGCTGTCCTGTAAATCTGTTAGGTAGAGACCTCGTTGGTATTATGGCCGCTACTATTGTCTGTACTCCTGCCGGTGGTATTGATCTTTCTATGTTGTTATCTACCCCAGATCTGCCCAGCATTCCTTCCACTGTGTGGGCATCATACAAGTTGGATGTAGTTTTTTGGGAATTGTACCCCTTACAGAGCTAGGCTTAAACCTGGTGTCACACCCATTTATCTTAAACAATACCCTTGTCAGATCAAAAGAAGGATGGTATTCGTCCTATGATTCAATCATTCCTACAACAGGGCATATTGAGACCAGTAGTATCACAATATAACACTCCTATCAATCCTGTACCAAAGAATGATGGTTATAGGTTGGTAAAGGATTTTCAAGCCTTAAATGGCTTAGTTGTACCTATTGCCCCTATTGTACAAGATGTAACTACTCTTATTACAGCCATTCCACATGATGCCACCTGCTTTACTGTTATTGATCTCAGTAATGCATTTTTTCTATACCTATAGATCAAGAGACTCAACTACTTATGGCTTTTACTTTTGAAGGCTGTCAGTATACGTGGACACGCCTACCCCAAGGCTATGTGGATTCACCAGCTGTTTATTCTCTGGTGCTCCAACAAACTCTAAAAGCATGGACCCCGGCCATGGTTCAGTCCTCCTTCAGTATGTTGATGACTTACAGTTGTGTAGTCCTAGCTGGGAGGCGAGCTTTGCAGATTCACTTAGTTTGCTCCTACATCTTGCTGCCGAAGGTCATAAGGTTGCAAAGCACAAAATGCAGCTCTGCAAAGAAAGGGTTGATTATTTGGGGTTTGTTCTGGCTGCAGGCATCAGACAATTAAGCCCTAAACACATTAAAGCCATTCAGAGAATCCCTAGGCCAGTTACACAAAAGGAGTTGCTCACCTTTCTCGGTATGATTAATTATTGCCACCAGTGGATTCCTGAGTGCTCCTATTATGACTCTATTTTGAGGCAAGCAGCCAAAGACAATAGCCCGATACTGTCTGTTGGTCCCCAGACATGACTGCATCTTACATTGCCCTCAAGGTTGCTATTGTCCAAGCCCCAGCACTAGGACTACCAGATTATTGTACATTTTTTTCATTTGTATTCGAGGGACAATTGTAAAACCATAGCTGCTGTCTGTACACAAGAGCATGGAGGTGGTATGCGTCCCATAGCATTCTCTTCCAAAGTAGTTCCTGTGCCAGTACAGGGGATACCAGCGTGTCTCAGAGTGCTGGCAGCATGCACCATGGCTGTTGAGGGAGCTGCTACCATGACACTGGGTCATCCCACCATCTTGCATACTACTCACCAGGTCACTCAGTAAAACCTAATAAAGCCTAACTACCCAACATATGACAGCCCAGCACCTTAGTGGTTATGAGATTATTCTTCTAAACACCCAGAATCTCCCAATAGCTTATAGTTCTCTTACCTCAGCCCCCCTGGCTATCTTACGTGCTATTCTCACCTCTGGCTCCACGGACTCTCCCCTTCCCACGGAGCCACATGATTGTATCACTCAAATCCACATCACAACATCCCCCAAACCTGACTTCTCCTCACCCCACTCAGTGGATCTGATGTTTCCACTGTTTTTGTTGACGGTTCCTGTTCCCGCCCTAGCGATGGAGAATATCTTACAAGTTATGCTGTAGTTCAGTTACCTGATGTTATCCTTGAATCCTCAACTATCCCTCACCAATCAGCCCAAGATGCGGAATTAGTAGCTATAACTTGTGCCTGTCAGTTGTTTAAGGGCAAACGTGTTAATATCTATACTGATTCCAGATATGTACATTTGGAAACAGAGAGGTTTTGTCGGTGCTGATGGGAAAGCAATTTCTCATATCTCCCTCATTACTTCTCTTTTGGATGTTATCCAGCTCCATTTAGAACTGGCTATCATTCATTGCAGGGCGAATACACATTCAAGACAAAGTACCTAAAGGAAATGCACTAGCTGACAGGGCAGCAAAGGAAGCAGCTCAGAGCACCACATATTACAAAATGGTCTTCCCTACTCTCCTTAACCCATCCTGTTGCTCCTCAGAGATGTTATTCTCTCATTTACATTTTGCTACCAAACAAGATATTGCCTTTTGACTTACACAAGGTTTAGAGAACGATCAATTTGATCTTTACTCTAAAGAGGGGAAGATAGGTATACCTGAGGCAAGTTCCCCCATATTTATCAGCCAAGCACACGGACCCGGACATAGGAGTAAAACTAACACCATACAATTCCTTATGGATTCTTTTTACATCCTCAATTTAAAAGATCATGTACGCAAATTTATACAGCTGTGTGAAC